CCATTCCCCTTCCCTTGGATATGGCAGGTGTCCACACATCCACACTGCAGCCAGACCACCAGCTTGGGACCTTGAACTATATCCAAGCTAGAGTCTGAATTTTAATTTACTGACATATATATTAACTACCTTCTAGGTGCCACCTAATATGATCATCTCAAAGAAGTACCAAAAAATTACCTCCCCCACCCTGTTATCAAAGGGGAAAAACAAAAGTAGGCAACTATGGCCAAGAGGCAGCATAAGCATGTAATGTGTCCACATGATCACCTTTGTGAAGTATGTGCTTTGCAAGCTAATCAAGAGGGTCTGACACATCCACACGTAAACTCAAACAGAGCCACATTCAGGGTATGAGAAGTGAAGGAAAGCAGGTGCCCCAACTCCCACCCCATCCCAAGAAGCATCCACACTGGCTGGACCAAGGAGGAGGCTTGGGGGGGGGGGGATGGCATCTCCACTGAGTTTCTTTGGGGAGGGCAGGAAAGATAGATTCAGACTGGACATGGAAAGGGCAGACAAATAGGAATGTTCAGATAATGTTCAAGGGAGGGTAAGGGGCCTGACTGACACACTGGAGAAGATCAGGGGGAAGCAGTAATGATTACTGATGAAACACTTACTGAGGCCAGACTCAGCCTCCAGCCAGACATTGGTGACACTGAACTTTATTCTGGTGGCATTGGGGAGCTGCCTTTGGACATGTCCCAGCTCCAGGTCAAACTCAAGCTTCAGTGCCCAGCTAAAACCCTAACCTCAGTCATTGCAGAGCAGGGCAGCCTGGCTTCCCACAATGGTTTTAGACACAGACAGCAGTTTTGATCTGCGGCTTGAACAAACTCCTCTCTCAGGCAGTAAGCCAAAAGAGTACATAGTCTTTCTTAGGAATGCCTGGCTAAGCTACTAATGGCTGCCTCGAACTGAGGCTCACACCTCCAGAATTTGGTGTATTTCTATTTTTATAGCTCACCTTCAGCTATAAATGTGGTACAAGAGATGGTATGCTAGTTGGTTGGTTTCTGAGGACTTGGGAAGTCCGCCTCCCAAACCACCTCCAGTTACGCACTAGTCACTCTCCCAGATTCCCAGCTGGTAGACTCCCTAGCAACTTGCAGCCTCCTCATGGGACCATCTGTCTCAGGAAGGCCAGAGGTTGGCCAGTGTTCCGCACACAGTAATCCCCGACCACCCAGAATCAGGGACGCTGACAGCAGCCTGCGACGGGAGCCCTCCTAACCTTGGGCTGATGACTGTGTTATAAGACACACAGTAGACCCTCAACATGTGCAATTACTTGTGACTATTGAAGAGCCCGAGGAAACTGAGAAAAAGGGAGCCACGGTGTAAATATGAAAAAACTAAGGTTTGGGCAGCTTGAAGTGTCCACCTGAGCTCACAAAGTTATGACTAGAACTGATGTTTGAACCATTGTGTAATCATCTTCTCCTTGATCCTGGGGCAAATGCTAGGGTGGAACCAGACACCAGGTGTGTATCCTGCTTCTTCCCCATACAAGTAAGTATTTAAAACTCTTAGAAACTCTGTTCCTTGTATTGACAAATAGAAATAATATTGCAGTGGTCTTACAAGCTGTTGCAGGATCGGGGCAGGTCCCTCAACCTTAGCACTATTGGCATTTGGGGACTGAAAGTCCTTGGTGTGTGGTAGGATACCCTGGCTTCCACCCACTAGTAGCACCTCTTCCACCCAGTTGTGTCAACCAAAAAATGTTTCTAGCCAAAACCGGTTTGCTCAGTGGATAGAGCATTGGCTCAATAAACTCAATAAAATATATATTTTTAAAAATGTCTCTAAATGTTGCAAAGTCCCTGATAAAACAACTCTCAGCCTCATTAAATTGGAGGACCACACCAAACTGTCTTTATCCAAGCAACTGGTCCTCCATTTTCTTCCTGCGACAGAGCTGATCAATCCATATTTCTAGGGTCTAAAGCTCAAAAAATCTTCAAATTTTATGCACTGATTTATTTTCTTTTTCATTTGTACATTCTTAATATGTTTATTATTTATAACAACCTCACAAAAGCCAGGCTTTTTATCCTAAATAATGTGCATGTTTACATGGAAAAGGCTAAAGCATTTCTTAGATTGCTAGTTTTTAGCGTCCCTACTTTTATGGGCGAGTACTCTTTCACTAAGACGTGTCAGTATGTCACGCCTGGAGGACGTAATTTTATATTATTATTATTATTTATTTATTTATTTATACTTAATTAAAATAAATTATATATATATATTCATTTATTTATATATAAAGCACAAAGGAAAATACAAAATTACAAAAAAATAGAAAAGAATACCAACAAAAAATGGAAACATCAAATTAAAAAATTATAAATTTTACAAACAATTATAAAGATTACAAAAAATAGCCAAACCAGTTTCGCTCAGTGGATAGAGTGTCAGCCTGCAGACTGAAAGGTCTCAGGTTCGATTCCGGTCAAGGCCATGTACCTTGGTTGCGGGCACATCCCCAGTAGGGGGTGTGCAAGAGGCAGCTGATCGATGATTCTCTCTCATCGATGTTTCTAACTCTCTATTCCTCTCTCTTCCTCTCTGTGAAAAATCAATAAAATATATTTTTTTAAAAGATTACAAAAAATATATACCGTCCCTCTCAGGGCGCAACATATATTTCCAAGATGTATTCATACTTCCTACCCATTCCCGATATTGTTTACGTTTGACGTATTTATAGGTCCCGTTCAGTTAACAGGTTTAAAAAGGGAACTCCCCTGTTAATAGGTTAAAAAAATGAAATATAATTGACATCTAATATGATATTGGTTTCAGGTATATAACATAATGATTTGATATTTGCGATCACCACAATAAGTCTAGTTAATAGCCATCACTACACATAGCTACCAATTTTTTTTTCTTGTGATGACAATCTTTAAGATCTACTTCCTTAGCAACTTTCAAATGCAGAGAACAGTGTTAATAATACAGTCACTACACTGCACATTACAGGGGCGATCAGGCCAGCAGGGGAAGGCAGTTAGGGGTGACCAGGCTGACCGAGGAGAGCAGTTGGGGGGAAACAGGCCAGCAGAGAAGAGCAGTTGGAAGGGACCAGGCCTGCAAGAGAGGGAGGATGTGGGTAATCAGGCTTCAGGGGAGGGCAGTTAAGGGTGAGTGGACCAGCAGGGGAGGACAGTTGCAGAGGACCCTGGCCTGCAGGGGAGGACAGTTGGGGGAAACCAGGCCGGGGAAGGCAGTTGGGGGACCACGCCAGCAGGGAGCAGTTAGGCATTGATCAGGCTGGCAGGCAGAAACATTTAGGGGCAATCAGGCAGACTGGCAGGCAAGCGGTTGGGAGCCAGCAGTCCTGGATTGTGAGAGGGATGTCCCAGTTTGGAGAGGGTGGAGGCTGGGTTGAAGGACACACATACACACCCGTGCAATAATTTCATGTACCGGCCCTTTAGTTATAAAAATAATCAGGCAGATGTAAGGTTCAGCATAGGGAATATAGCCAATAATATTGTAAAAACTAAGTATGGTGCCAGGTGCATCCTAGACTTATTGAGGAGATCACTTCATAAATGTCTAACCATTATGCTGTAAACATGAAACTGAAATGTTATATGTCGATTGTAATGAAAAATTAAAAATTGTATCATAAAGTGGCTTGAAAAAGCTCATGATAAATTCCGATCACTGAAATCTTTGAAGTACTGAAGAAGAAACTAAGTAGCTTAAAAAAAGATTTTTCCAAGCTCAGTTAGGCAGTTGATGGACAAAGGAACCCCATACACATTGCACACCTACCATGTGAAGATAAACAGATGCTGTGGAAGGAACATACAGCTCCTTTCTCAGGACAGTAATATTTCAGTCCCTATCGACTGATCTTTACCGAATCGTGCTTTCTGAGCTTTATGCACAGCCCCGACAATTTATGTATAATGGGGAACAATTAAACGACTCAGACATGTTTCAACAGAATCATTGCTCTGCCTCAAACACTGTCCAAAGCTTCTGAAACACACTCTTTCCCTGTAAGATTGTGTAAGTATTTTTAATCAAAAGAATTTTTTATTTAATTCTCTAGCACAAATGAGTTAGTGGGCTGCCAGCTGCTTCAGCAACAATGTAAGAGAGAGTCTTATAAATATCCAGTAGATCCACTATACCCAAGAGGGTTCTTGAGCATTTCAAGACCAGAGAGTCTAGTGTAGTCAAAAGCAACACTCTGGGTGGACTTGAGCAAGACCTGCAGGGCTCTGTGCCTCGGTCTTCTGCACCGAAAGGTCAGTACAAGGCTATAAGAAAGTTGTTGTGAGAAGTCAGCGCTTGGCACAGGAGAAATATGTGAGAAATTAGGCTATTCCTTTTATTATAGATCACTAGTCCACAGGATTTCAACAGGTGTTATCCAAAAAAGAGTCTTATAAACCAATGTCTGGAAACACTAGTTTAAACAAAGTTAAACAAGCTTTAAAAAAAAAAAAAACTAACTGCAGCCTTTAAAATGCTGATATGCAACATGAATATCAAGATAGCCACCCAGGATGCCTCCTTTAACAATGGGACCCTTTCTGCAGCTGGCAAATCACTGGGTGAAACACTGCTGCCCAGACTGTCTGCTAAGCCTGATGCATGGTCTAATGTAATTGAGATTGCTTCTCAGAATGTACAGAACTTTGATTATAAAAGATGCAAACATTGTCGACCACCAGAATGTGCTAAGAATCCAGGACTACTTAATGTTAAATATCATGAATGGATCAAAATTCAGAATGCTGTCCATGTTGATTTTTTAAGAACATTTATTGTGGTAAGAACACTTACCGCTAGGTTAACCCTCTCAATAAGTGTTTAAGGAAGCAATTCATTACTGTGGACCATAGCCAGAATGCTATACAGCAGATCTCTAAGCTTACTCAACTTGCTTCACTGAAACTCTATGCCCTTTAATTAGTACCTGCCTATTTCCCCTCCCCCAGTGTCCATGTGGGGTTTACATCACTTACCCGTGACCCCTTTTCAGGAAAGCACTGGCAGACAGAGCAATCTCTCCCTCCGCAAGGAGTGAACTTCTTTCCGCTCTGGAAGGTGAAACATCAGATTCAGTACATGCAATGCATCCCTTAGCCACGTACGTGATACACACATTACAAGCACGCTTCATTTGCCTAACTCATGAGGAGACCAGAGTATACCTTTACCTCTGAGTCTTGAAAATAAGAGACTAAGAGTGATAGATAAACAGGCAGAGACTTTACCTTGTGGCTTGATAAGAAAGAGGATCGATGACTTTGTGAGAAGAGTAAAAATCCATGTGAGCCAGAATACTTTATGTCAGCGAGGGCTTCCAAAAGGCTCTTTTGAAGCTAATTGGCTTTCACCAGAACCTTTGGCATTTCTCTCTCCAGTTTAAGATTCATTTATTAAGTTGTGAATGATCTTAGAGTGTAAACTGTATAGTTAGGAAAAATGTAAGTGCACAATGGTGTTTAATTCAGAGTATAAATTTGACTGCTTTTCTTTTTCAGGACCCTCTTGTTTTACCTCCAAGATCAGTTAGGACGTGTCTCCTTCATGGAGCCCCTCTGATGTCAACACTGGTAACAAATTGTTCTTCCTACAATTTGCTGATGCTTCAAGACGGTTCCTTCAAGACGTCTCTCAACCAGAAAGCTCCTGAACTTAAATAATTTGGGGCCTTCCCCCACTTTACCTGATTTTTCTTCAACATTCTCTTTAAAGACTCATGTATTTTCTCAACTTTAATGCTCCCCCCAAACACACACATGCTCTAATTTTGGGGAAATTAGTCCCCTGCTCTCACAAATCCTCATTATCTGCATCTAGAGTCATCCATCACTTCAATACAAAAAAAGTGTATTTCCAGAGGAGCTGTTTCCATAGGTAGATTCTTCAATGATGGTGCAGTGGAGATGAGCTCTGGGCTTTGTCACTGGCTTGGGCTGTGATTGGGAGAGTGGTGCCTAAAGCAGCTCCAGGGCCAGGAGCTGAGGGCATTAATACAAATGTCAGGAAGGCATGATCCAGCCAGAGCTCACTGCAGCATGCGTGTATTAACCACACATTTCTGTAACCGGTAGATTGTTTCAAACTCAAGGCTGTAAACTTAAGTCTTAGATTTATGTATAATGGGGAACAATTAAACCAATATTTATAGTTCTGATGTACTGATGTAAGTACATAGATATGTATGTGAATATATATTTGTATATGAATATGCACATATATAAATATATGTATATAGGAGAGAAGGGAGTCAACATAGCATTTTTTCTTTCTGTTTCAATCACTTAATTTAGACTTCTTTTTTTTTCTTTTCTTTTTTTCAGGAAAATGATGCTCAGAAATAATTAAAAAGAAAATATTTTTACATTAAGCATTAATGAAAAGATATCCTTATAAACAGAAAGAACTCTTAATGGGTCATTGAAAGTATATAAGAATTTAAACCTTGACAAGAGCTAAGCAATTAGATAATTAAAGTTTAAAAAATGTATTTGAAGTTTTAGAAATAGATGCCTCTTGAGTTTTGAATAACATTGTTATTTACGATTAGAAACTTAGAGTTTAAAATGCTGGTAAGTTAAAAAAAATAATAATAATTAATTAATTAAATTAATAAATGCCCAGGGCCAGGTTAGGACAGCATGAAAGCATTGAAAGAACTAGTCTGAACACTTAGGTTCATTTGAGGTTGGGTTCATTACTATGTGTTCAGTGAAATAGCAAAACAACCAGGGAAAAAGGAGGGGCAGTTGATTCGATGGCTTGATAATAAAAGCAAGTTTGTTATTTTATTGTTGTGTGTGTGTGTGTGTATGTGTTTTGTTTGTTTGTGTTTTGTTTGTTTTTTAACTTCATTGGGCCAAGCATCACTGAGATGTTTGGAGCACAATTACATTCAGAGAAGAATCAGTTTAAAATAGTGCAGCAGATTCTAATAAACAGAAATAGTTGCATGTAAAGCTTTGACTTGGACCAATAAAAGAAAAAAGCAAGAGGTGATTTTAGTCTCTACAAAGTGCTACATTAGACACAGCCTAATAAACAGCATTTGAAAAGGAGGAGGCATTTGTAGAGGACAAATCTTAAAAAAAAAAAAAAAAAAAAAAAAAAAAAAAGTAAAATAAAAAATAAAAAACAGATTGTAGGAACCCATTAAAAGAAGATAAAGACTCTAGCTTAGACAAGTCAACATTCAAAATATATACTGTACTCACTGGCAATATACTGACATTCTCTAAAAACAATGTAACTTCTTCAAAGAGAAAAAAGGAAAAGTGAGGATCTGTTTTATGACAGATATTTTTAAATAAATATTTATTGCTAGAAAGTTTAAGAAGTTAATGTTATTAATTTATAGATTAGTCATCTGCCCCTCCTTTTTCCCTGGTTGTTTTGATATTTCACTGAACACATAGTAATGAACCAACCTCAAATGAACCTAAGTGTTCAGACTAGTTGTTTTAATGCTTTCATCCTGTCCTGACCTGGCCCTGGGCATTTATTAATTTAATTTTCTTTTTTTACCTTACCTCTATTTTCTTATTTGAAAAATAAATAACATATGCACATGATTTAAAAAAAAAAAAAACACAAATAGTGCAAAAGAGTATAGTGGGAAAAGACATTTTCTCTTCCATTGTGGCCTCCCATTCTCTCACCTGCAGGTAATTGATCTCAAATTGGTGTCTGGGTATTTATAAGCATATTCACGTGATTATCATATGCATACACACACAACTTTTTGGTGTAGTATATTTTCTTGGGCCTTGCTGTTTTCACTTAATCAGATGTTTTCAAAATCATACCAAAATAATACATTTGGCTCCAGACACAGTATTCTAACTTGTGTAATCAGTCAGTACTGATGGAAATGTAACTATCTCCCTTCTTTTGCTACTGAACAATATCCTGCAACTAGTATTGTTGTGCATTTATCTTTATTCACAAGCCATTATAAGTATAGATGATAATTTCCAAAAAGATAAATTCTAGTGTCAACAGCTATGTGCACTTAAAATCCTGAAGGTCAAATTGCCTCCCATTGATACTGTAGCAATTTATATCTCCACCTTTACAACCCAACTATGGCATAGCCACTCTAGAATCTCTGCCTACACAGGCTGGTGGACTCTAGAATCTCTGCCTACACAGGCTGGTGGAAGAATACAGGGCAGGACCATCTTTAGTTCAGGAACCAAATTCACTCACATGAAACATAAGGAACAAAGGAAGTGAAATTTAGAACTCTATAAACCACCACCATCATCACAATAAAAATAATATAATACAAAAATAAAGTTAGGAACGTCAAGTAGGATAAATAGAAAAAATCCACACACGTATTTCAGTGTGTTTTCATTTATTATTTCAGGTGATGCTCTCAGGTGCATGTGAACTAAGTTGGAAAAATCTTATCATCTTTACTTCTATCAGGATAAACTGAGTCTTGGATAGGTTAAGAGATCAGTCATTGTCACAGCCAAGAACCAAGACTTCTCATTTCTGAACACAAATGCCTTCTACTCTTGACTGATAAGAAGAAAACAGAAAGAAGTTTTCTATTTGATTTGCTTTGATAATCACAGAAATTGGATTGGGTGGTTCCAAGCTGGAGAGATGGACAGATAGAAATGTGTTCACTAGAGTGATTTAATCCAGCCCAGTTGTCTTTTAAGATCGACCTGAGTTACAGTCAGCCCATTGAATTTCCCAGAAACATCTGAAGTTGGTTTTTAATAACTGAGATTGTTAGATATTATTACAGACTGTTCTAAGCTTATCTTACTTTAAAGTTAAAATTTCAAATTTAATCTTATACTTCTTAATTGTGAAGTGGTCCAGCTGCTTTCTGGTCCTCTCCAAAAATGTTTTTAAGAAAGGATTATATTATAAAATAAAAACATCTCCAATATCATTTGGAGGCAGTTTGCTAAGCAGTCTTGACTGTAAAAGATAAAAGAAACCTTAGAGTTCATCTAGTCCAACACTTCATTTTACAGATGAGAAAACTGAACCCCAGGGAGCTACTTGATTAAAAATATAACAAAAATAATACATTCAATAAAGTGAATTTTCAGCATGTCATCGGAGCTAATTAATGTACTTACCCCATATACAAGTTGCATAGAAAAGATAATAAATATAAGTGACCTACAAAAAAGCAAAAATGCAGATGAATTTAAACTGTCCCTTTTCATGCAAGCCACAGTAAATAAGTAAATAAATAGAGGAATTAATTCTAGAAAACTTCTCCTTATATTTAATAAGCTGTTGGCACCAGCTGATTGTCATCAGTGACAAGATAAATATTATCCTCTCTCTAGTGGTCTTCACTACCTTTTCCCTTATAATCAATCCAGAAGTACTCACAGCCCTTAGTGAGGTCCTCATTGTGCTGGGTGCCCTGGACACACTGAAGGTGAGGCTTGGATGGATAGATGAGTGAAGGAAAATGGTACGTGCAGAATGAAAACTAGAGAGGAGAGAGGTTGCTCAGGAACGGTGCAAAGACAGTGTATGCTGAATGACATTAAGGAAAGCCAACTAGAAGGAGGTAGGAGGGAAGGAAATCTAGCTGGACAGGGAAATAGTTTGAAAAGCAGTGGAAATAATATGGCTAGTTAGGGAAGAGTTAGGTAGTTCGAGGTCTTGTTATTGAGGCAGAAATCTAACTGGAGTAACTTCATTATTATAAACAAAATTTTTAAATATATTTTATTGATTTTTTTACAGAGAGGAAGGGAGAGAGATAAAGAGCTAGAAACATTGATGAGAGAGAAACATCGACCAGCTGCCTCCTGCACACCCCAACCGGTGATGTGCCCGCAACTAATGTACATGCCCTTGACCAGAATCGAACCTGGGACCTTTCAGTCCGCAGACCGACGCTCTACCACTGAGCTAAACCAGTTTTGGCATTATTATAAACAAGTTTTAACAGAGGAGAGATGAACAAAAAGGGACCATTGTATGGTCTGAATATTTGTGTCCTTCAAATACATATGTTGAAATCCTAACCTCGATAGTATTATGAGATGTGGCCTTTGGAATGGAATTCAGTCAAAAGGGTAGAATCCTCATGAATTGGATTAGTGTCCTAATAAAAGGGTCCCAGAGAGCTCTCCCACCCGCCTTCCACCATGTGAAGATACAAGGAGAAGGCAGCAGTCCAACAACATAGAAGAGAGCCCTCCCCAGAATCCAACTTGTTGACACCCTGATCTTGGACTTCCAGCCTACAGACCCGTGAAAAATAAGTTCCTGTTGCCATGCAGTCTATGGTGTTTGTCAGAGCAGCTGGGACTGACCAAGGTGACCACTAAATATTCACAATCATTGGCTTTGGTCTTATATTTGTCCAAGAGCTTCTGTATTTACCCTTAAAACAGCTATGATGGAGTTGGGGCTTCCAATCACATCATCCCCAAGGCTGAGAGAAGGGCCCCAGCCTGGGCCATGACTTCTCTGCCAGCCTGTCCTTTGTTCTGTGTATTCATCTCCTCACTGAACCCTCCCATCCTGAGTGAGCCTTCATTCTCCACCCTCTACTCTTTCGTCCTGTGCTGAGATGCTGGTAAACACCACAGCCACCCACAGAGCCATGCCCCTGGAGGAGGCCCTGGCTGGACCATGGGAAACAGGGGTGGGTCTAGCCACACTTACTGATTTCCACACTGAAGTCCCCCTTCTCCCAACCCATCTATTTGAATTCATGAAAATGCCCCAAAAGGTCAGGTGGGCATTTCAGTGAAGCGACTAAGTGCATTAAAAGAATAAAAAAGTGAAAGAGGTATTAAACACAGTAATAAACTGTTTTCAATCAAGTTAAAGTATTTACAATCATTGTTTGTTAACTGGCTCTGTACCACGTTGGACATATGTAAATAAGGAAGGTTCTATCTCATAGCAGTTTATATATATATATATATATATATATATATATATATATATATATATATATATATTATATAAAACTGTAGCCAGGATATGTTTTTCCACATTTTACTCAATGCAAAGGGACTCAGAAATGTTGAATACTGTGCTCAAAAGTCACAGGCAGAATGGTACCAAGTTGGGGTGGGGGTGGTCAGGTCAGGTCTGTATCTCTCCTTCCTCCTCCTCCTGCAGTATATGTTTAAAAAATAATGAGTTCTTTAAAGAACCATTTAAGCCAAAACCGGTTTGGCTCAGTGGATAGAGCGTTGGCCTGCAGACTGAAAGGTCCCAGGTTCGATTCCGGTCAAGGGCATGTACCTTGGTTGCGGGCACATCCCCAGTAGGGGGTGTGCAAGAGGCAGCTGATCGATGACTCTCTCATGAAGTTCCTAGCTCTCTCTCTCTCTCCCTTCCTCTCTGTAAAAAATCAATAAAATATATATAAAGAACCATTTAAAATTAAGATTACTTTTCAGTTTCCTCCACATGCTTTCCACACAAGTAAGACTTGACAGTACTTCTGATAAGTACATGCTCCTTTCCACCACCCTCTCCTCCTTCATTGCCCATAATACCTATTTATCAGCTTGAAAACTTTTCATATTTTCATTATTTAATGTTCCTCTGCCTTAACTCCCAATGTCTCTTTTAGTCAATTGTAACAATGTCATCTTAGCTTCCTACTGCTGCTGAAACACATTACCCAAACTCAGAGGCTTAACACATAACACACATTCATTATCTTATGATCTGGGGATCAGAAGTCCCAAATGGATCTCACTGGGTCTCACTGGCAAAAATCAAGGCATTGGCAGGGCTGTGTTCCTTCTGGAGGTGCCAGGGGAGATCCTGTTTCCCTGCCTTGTCTGAATTCTAGAGGCTGCCCACATCCCTTGGCTCATGCTCACTTCCATCTTCAACACCAGCAGGGGTGGGTCCAACCTCTCTCTTGCTGTATCCCTCTGACCTCCCCCTCTTCTACCACATCCCTTCTTGGACCCTCACTCTCCTGCGTCTTCTACTTCGAAGGGCCCTTCTGATTATACTGGAGCCCCTCTGATAATCCAAGATAATCTCCCCCTGGAGAGGTTAGCTGATTAGCAATCTTAATTCCATGTGCAACTGTAAGTCTCCCTCACCACGAAACAAAACATAGTCATGGGATTAGGGTGTACACTTCTTTGGGGGTATGTATCCTGCTTACTACACTCATGAAATGTGTTGAACTAACTCTGCTAATTATAGGGACTCTGCTGCTCTGGACATACAGGAAACTTTTTGCTCTTCAAACCCAGTGTGTAAGAGCCAGATCCTGCAGCTTTTAAATAACCACCTTCCCATTCAATAAGAGTATGTAGGTGCAATTCAGGGAAAAGAGAAAGGATTTGTGTTTAATAATAAAAATTAGGTGCAAAATGGCAGGCATAACCCAAAGATTTCTGGAATGACTGGCTTTTTGACACATGAAGCATTCATATAATTTATACCTATAAAATCAACATTGAGCTCTAGCCATTTGGCTCAGTGGATAGAATATTGGCCTGTGGACTGAAGGGTCCAGGTTCAATTCTGGTCCATGGCACATGCCCAGATTGCAGGCTCAATCCCAGTAGATGATGTGCAGGAGGCAGCAGATCAATGATTCTCTCTCGTCATTGATGTTTCTGTGTCTCTCTCCCTCTCCCTTCCTCTCTGAAATAAATGAAAATATAAAAAACAAGATTGAGTAAGCATTATTATTGAATAGAAGCACTGAGGATACTTACCAGGTCTTTGTGGCGAAGAGCTTGAACCACCAGAAAGAGCACCTTGCTAACTCCATGTGCATGGCTTACTGCACAGCCAGTCTGAGTTCTTAGTCTTCTCTTCTGGATGATTCTCGTTTATAAATGAGGTTTAAAGTCTGTACATGGTAAATATAAACATAGCCTTTAAAACACAGTTTGGATTATAAAGTTCAAATAATTACTTTCCTTGTCCATAGTTAGTGATAAAAATATTTTTGAAACAAATCTTCAAAAAATTATATAATCTTTCCTTAGTTGTATTAAACTGAATAAATATCAATTCTTATTCTTAAAAATAAAAATATTCTCAAATTCCTTATATGTCAAATATATTTTTGAGAAGTAAAAAGATGTATCTATATACACATATGTGCATAAAATGCTTGCATAGAAAGCATTGCTTCATTTCTCTAAGTGGAATTTTCTTTTATTTAATTGTTTTCCTTGAAAATCCAATTTAAATTCACTCAAGTGCTTGAAAGTAGGAAAGGAACCCTCTAGTGTAGAAATACATATTTTGTACATATAGAACAAATATATGTAATATAATTTTATGTAAAATGATACAACTAATGTGGAAACATTTTGATAGTGCCTCAAAAAGTTAAACATAAGAGTTACCATCTGAACCAGCTATTCCATTTCTAGTTATATAACCAAGAGAATTGGCAATATATGTTTACACAAAAACTCGCACATGAATATTCATAGTAGAATTATTCGTAATAGCCCAAAAGCAGAAACAAGCCAAATGACCATCAACTGATGACTGGATAAGCAAAATGTGCTATATCCATACATTCCCTTTGGCCATAAAATAAAATAGAAGACTGATACATGCTACAACATGGATGAATCTTAAACACTACACTAAGTAAAAGGAGTCACATACTTTATGGTTCCCTGTATATGAAATATACAAAACAGGCAAATCCATAGAGACAGAAAATTGATTAGTGATTACGAGAGGTTGCCAAAGAGGAGAATTGGGAGATACGGAGTTTCTTTTGGGGTGTTCTGGCATTAGATAGTGGTGATGGTTGCACAACATTCTGAATATACTAAAAAACACTGAATTATAAATTCTAAAGAAGTAAAAAAGATGAGTTTTATTTTGTGAACTTTATCTCAATAAAATAAGAACTTAAGACTTTGATAAAAGATAATTTTGACTCAAAGAATTGAAATGTCTCATCTTAAAAACTGGCTTCTCTGAACACCAGAATTGGGCAGAGAGAAGAAAATTAGGAGTATTGAATATTACAAGCTATTTTTAAATTTCTGGGTAAAATCTGGATAACCTAACTCAATGCTGTATTTATGAGAGACTAGTTTTCTAAGTAAGTTTTCTAAGTGGTAGAACAACATTCCATGATACAGTTTCACAATCAATAGAAACAGAATCTCTTTGAGTGCCCAGATCTTTTCCCATCCCTAAATCCATCCTTTTAAATAAAGGCTTTTTTAGTTTCATTCTAGAAGCCAGTCTCAAGAAAACAAATTATTGTTTTTGAAGGAATGCATGAATTGGTTTGAATCATTTCAAATGTACTTGATATCTGTAATAATAAAAGCATAATATGCTAATTAGACTGGATGTCCTTCTGGATGATCTTCCAGATGAAACTGGGGCTATGAGGGCTGAGCCCCTTGCAAAAATTTTGTGCATTGGGCCTCTAGCTTTAAATAAATAGAAAGCACAGGCAGAAATCAAAGAAGATCAGAGATATTTGCACTTTTACCCCAAAAGAGATACATGATGCAATTATTCTCTATGCATAATTGTGATAAAGGGGGAACAAAAGGGGATTTTACTAAAATAGAGTATTGCTATAATCACCTTTCAGAGTAAGAATACCTTATCATGGATCACGGTCTTGAAACCTAGGAGTTTCTTTGTATATTTTAATAGAATTGCTGGATGGCTGGACAGATGGATGGACAGATGGAACAATCTGCAGAAAACCGAACTGGTCTCCCCATTAGTGGGACTGCCCAATGTGAAAGGATATTGATAATAACAGACACAATTATATGGGGAGTATCTGATGCATTCTCACCACCATGCACTTATTTATCGTATATGGTTTATGACCACATGGATTTCATCTTTGTTTTTAAGTTTATTTTTTATTGTTGACATTATTACAGATGTCCCCTATTTTTCCCCTCTCCCGCCTCCACCTAGGCCCCACCCCATCCCAGGCCTTCACCACACTAATACCCTGTTTTTCCGAAAATAAGACAGTGTCTTATATTAATTTTTTCTCCCAAAGTTACACTAGGTCTTATTTTCAGGAGATGTCTTATCTTTCCATGCGCTAGGTCTTATTTTGGGGGGAAAATGGTAGGTTCAGAGGCATGGATGCATGGAACAGACTAACAGATCTCAGAGGTGAGAGGAGTAGGGTGGATGGGAGGAGATTGACCAAAGAAATTATGTGCATACATGCATACCCCATGAATACTCTCAACAGTGTGGTAAAGGGATTTCATCTGTTTTTATTCCCGGATTTATCCCCAGTGCCACAATAATGTCCAGAACACAGTAAGTGCTCCAGGATGCATTTGTTGGATGTATAAACTTGGGGAAGACACTTTGGAATGTGAAACCAATATATTAAATAGGAAATGTAAGATGAGGCTAACTCTGAATACAGGTGAGGAAGTGGAGGAAGGGAGAGTGAGGAAGATGGAGAGAAACCATAACAGCTTTGGGGGGAGTGAAGAGAAACAAGCACTTACTGACCATATGTAGGATTCTTTGCTAAGTTTTGTTCACATCAAGTCACTTCCTTTTCATCAGGTTTAGTAAGAAAAGTATTATTTTTAAAAAATATATATACTTTATTGATTTTTTTTTACAGAGAGGAGGAGAGAGGGATAGAGAGCTAGAAACGTCGATGAGAGAGAAACATCAACCAGCTGCCTCTTGCACACCTCCTACTGGGGATGTGCCTGCAACCAAGGTACACGCCCTTGACCGGAATCGAACCTGGGACCTTTCAGTCGCAGACCGACGCTCTACCACTGAGCCAAACTGGTTTCGGCAAAAGTATTATTTCTATTGTACAGAAAAAACAAACTGGATAAATACAAGTAAACTGTACAAAGTAACAGAGCTAATAACTAGCAAAACTGACTGTAATACATATCCCTTCTCTCACCTGACCACTGGCATGGTAGCCTTCAGACTTTTCTGTTCTCATACTCCCATAAGAATTTTGAAAAACCTATGCACACTACCTTTTTTTTTTTCAAGTTCATATCTAAAATTTTCATCTTCTTTTAAATTGTTCCAAAGAGTATAATTTGGAACACTGTAAATGATGACCTATAAAATAAAACTATTTCAGGTTTGGCCAAGAAATCATAAGGCCATGGAAATTAATTTTTACCATTAATTAATTGCTATTATCAGTGTCCTTTCAGTTTAAAATATATGTGTACAAGTTCTTTAACAACAGAAATTTTATATTAATTTTCTTCTTGAATTCATATTTATATTCTCTTTCTCCACATACATGTTAGTGAAATATAATTCTATACTTGAAAATCATATTGATCACCCTATCATACTTCTCTGCAACAAAAAATTAAATAAATGAAATATTTTGATATCCTATGATTGCAAATTTCTGTCTTATAAAATGTATTTTTTCTAGATTGGCTCATCATTATGATGATTAGTAGTATGCCATTCATCAAATAAATTTAAATTTTGATATACAATTATTAAACATTAAAAGTTAAAGTTTATTGGAATTGTAGTTGGAAATGAATGAATGGGGTTTTTTTGTATCCCCATTTAGCTCTAAATTAATAATACTTCTTACTGGAATAAGACAGGTTCAACAACAATCTTACTTCTGTTTTAGTTTTTAAAGCTGTAAATTCTAATAAAACATATTCACCCAAAAATAAGAAGTTGTGAATAAAAAGCATTTGTTATATAAATGTCATTAAATTGTATACCAAAAGCAATATAGACTTTATCATCCAGAATTATTTTGAGTGATGTTTCAGTCTTTCTTCCATTGTGATGACTGCAAAAGTTGGGACCCACCTTGCCCGGAGGTCGTGGAGCCCACGAGGCAGAACACTTTCCATTCTCAACACTGGCATTTACACCGCTCATCACTTGGCCCCATAAACAGTCCTTATACTCTGGGATGGATGGGGACAGGAGAATGGGGTAAGGATGTCTTTCTTTTAAAAAGTAGAGGAAGGACCGGTGTGAAAGGGGAGCTTAGAACCTGGACCACTTGCAGATAGAACAGTTCTTTTTTTTTTTTAAATACATATTTTATTGATTTTATTTTTACAGAGAGGAAGAGAGAGGGATAGAGAGTTAGAAACATCGATGAGAGAGAATCATTGATCAGCTGCCTCTTGCACACACACCTCCTTCCCCCACTGGGGATGTGCCCGCAACCAAGGTACATGCCCTTGACTGGAATCGAACCTGGGACCTTTCAGTCTGCAGGCAGACACTCTATCCACTGAGCCAAACCAGTTAGGCCCAGATAGAATAATTCTAAGAAAGAATATATATAGCAATTGAGAATCTAGAAATTAATTCCTATATTTAATTTTCCAAGCTGCCTGCATGAATCTTAAGTTTTTTTGTCCCCCCAAAGACCATGTAGCTCAGTTTGAAGATCTCTGCCCTGAATGAGCTGCCAAATTCCCTTGTTCACTGGTTCACCTAGTCCTTGAGTGTGCCTCAAATAACTATCCCACAGCCTGTCTAGCCTAAATCAAGTCAGACTTTAGGATTGTTCTAAGCTGCAGCAATAGCTAAGCACAGCCCCATCCTCTCTCAGCTGGATACTATGAACAGCATCGTGCACTACACTCTGCAGTTCACCAAAGGCTGCCACACTTAATCCACTACAATCTATGAGAATTTTATTTGTTGCAACTGCCTGTGTGAAGAGCATAAACACTTTTGTCTCAACCAAGCTTTTTTTATTCTGAGGTTGAAAAAGGGGAAGGCTGCATGACAGTTTTGCAAACTCAAAGACCTAAAGTACCTACA